AACTACATGTCAACTAATTCTCATTAATTTGCAACTACATGTCTACTAACTCTCAGAGTAGACTGTTAGGGTAGGTTTAGGGTTAGTAGAATAAGTTGACAAAGAAAGTGTTAGAAGATATTAAGCAGACAGTCTACTAATACTCTACTAACTGCTAGTTGACATGTAGTTGCAAAGTTACTTACTGTTAATATAATGTCTAAAGTGGACTAACAAAATAAAGTGTTACCAGATTTTTTGATGTTTTTAAAGAAGTTTTTTTTAGCTATTTTTTTAGCTAATGGCTGCATTTGTTTAAAAAAACTACAGGAAACAAAACCAGTAATATTGTGAAATATTTTTACAATTTAAAATAAATGTTTTCTATTTTAATATATTATAAAATATTAATTTATTCCAGTGATGTCAAAGCTGAATTTTCAGCAGCCATTACTCCAGTCTTTAGTGTCACATGATCCTTCAGAAATCATTCTAATATGCTGATTTAGTGTTCAAGTAACATGTCTTATTATTATCCATGCTGAAAAAAGTTGTGCTGCTTAATATTTTTGTGAAAACCGTAAACATGGTTTTTCATGATTCTTTAAAAATAGAAAGTTCAAAAGAAGAGCATTTATTAAAATAGATCTTTTGTAACATTGTCGTTTTTGTTCAGTTTAATCCATTCTTAGAGGTCTTGCTGACATCAAACTTATGAATGGTAGTGTATTTTTGATATTTTAAGTATTTCTTCAACATGTATGTAGGTGTCATGCATCAGTGCATTCATCTGTCTGACATTGCAGAAGTTTTAGTCTCACTGAATGGACTTTTCTTAAGCTAATTTTCCTCAAAAGATCAAGGAAAATTAGATTGCTCATGATATGACCCATTTAAATCATTAATTCAAACAGAAGTAAAATAACAAAAATGTCATACCTCCACATCTGAAGATGTCGTGAGACACCTACCTGACACACTGGTTCTACCAATCTGCCTCTGCTCCCTGTCTGTCTCTGCCTGGATCTCCCCCTTGATAAAGACCTGCCTCTCTCTCCTTCTTCTTTTATCGCTCCTCTGCCTTGTCGTCTCCGTTTAAGCCTCTCGTGATTCTTGAACATCTGTCTGGTGTCTAGCATCCTGCCAGTCCTACCCCCACCTTGCCCCATCCAGGCCGACCTCGCCACTCTTCCGCACCTTTTCATATTTTGCACTCTTTTACAAATACTCAACCCTTCTCCCTTCAGAGCAAATCCTCCGCGTGCCCCAGCCCTCCGCACCCTTGTAGCCCTTCCCTCAGTTTTGACGTCCCCTTTCATTCCTCTCTGACTCTGCTCCCTCTGTCCTGCACTCTGCCCAATGTTGGTGTCAAGAAAGTAACTGATAAAACCTGGGATATTGTTCTCAAACTGTGCAAATGCTTCTAAAACACATTCCTCACCCTCTGAAACACGCCCCAATGCTGGCTGGCCCTCATTGGCCAATGTCTCAACATTTGTATTATGAGAAGGGTAAGGGTGAGGTGGCAGTGGGGTTGGAGGCTGTTGGTATGAAGCTGAAGGGGGACATACATAGACCTGGGGCAAGCAGGCTGGTCCACTCACTGTGGGATACATAGCGCTTTCAGGGACCACATCCATGACTTGAAAGGAAGGCTTTTATTAATATCTGCACAAGTGATATATTTATTTTATTTTTTGTTTTTGCGTCCGTGGGAGAGTGGGAGAGTAGCAAAACATTTTTAAATGTGGCAAAGCATTTTAAAATTTTCACAAAGAAAATGTTAGTGGCGCTTGAATGTGTTCTGGGTTCTGAGCTGCTAGGTGGTTGTTTATAGTACTTGTGATGACAAAGAGTAGAGTTCTGGTCATCATCATTATTATTTGAATATTTATCTGTTTGCTATTCTATTTATATATCTAAATATTATTGTGGCAGATTATTTGAAATAATGAAACAGCAAAAAAAAAAAAAACAATAACAAAAAGCCAATAAAATTGCTTTACCAAATCATGTAGGCCGAAACATCGCGAGATTTCGGAAATTCACACAGCGGTCGCGAGGTCGACTCAGCTGACCAACCTCTCTTGCGTTATTACGGAGTGAAGCGCGTGCGCCCTGAGCTGTGAAATAAATAACGCCGATTTTTACCTTCTCACGAAACGTGATATTCAACAATATATCGCAGGTATTAATACATTTCGTATTACTTTTATGTTAGTATAAATATGCGCAGAAGCTGCAGGTATTTCAGGGCTGTCAGTGGTTGCAGTCAGTGGCTGTGTGAAGAGTTAGCTTGTCGGCTACATTGTTAGCTCCTCTGGGTACTGAGGAGTGTTCTAGATTTTCCCGACATATTTCAACTAAAATGAATAGGGTACTTTAGAACTACATGATGAACCAATCTTCTACTTTTATTTAGGTATTATAAATAAAAATAAAAAAACTGGCGACGCTTGACAGGTGTACAGTAATATCTGCAAATCTGTAATTGTTGCCGGTTGATTTTCAGTTGTCATGAAGTTAGTTAGTCAGTATTTACGTTGACAAGTGTAACTTAGTTCTGCTTTGGGTGGACATTATGAATGTATTTCCTACCGATTTGTAGTAGTGCCTTGGTGAAACAATACAATGTTTTTTCAACAAATTGTTGTAAGAAAGCTTCGTTTAAGAGCTAATGTGCGTGTGTTTTGCCCACTCCCACACCTGGCAAACTATAACTGCTTAAGAACTGTTTCAGGGTTTAGCAAGACTAACTCAAGTCACTTTGTCCCTTTCTTCGAGTTAATAAGCAGCCTGTGTGCATGAATATGTGATGTGTATGTTCTGCGTGCAAGCTTATTATTTTTATTTCTCTCAAGAAGTAGAGCCTTGTAATATTTGAAAGATGGCAGACACAGAGCAAAGGAGTCCACCTCCTCAGCCTCAGACTGGACCTGTGGTAAGTGCCATGACATTTTAGCTTTGATAAGCTTCTTTTAAGTACTAAACAATGACCCCATGATATATATTTTCTGAGAACCAGAAAAAAAAAGTTTTGTGAATTTTGTTGTTCTTTTTATGTCATTACATTGGTTGGAGCATAAGAAACAAATGGAGAAAAATATTTTTGAAAAACAAAAATATTTTATCCTATGTCCTTTGTGGAGGACGCCGGGACTAAGTTATTCAAAATAAATAAATATTAAATATACATGAAAAGGCATGTATAGGCAAAACAATGTTTTATTTTTTCATTCACCAATCAGTTTTTAGGTTTCAGGCTATTTTTAACCAAACTTTGTACAAAGATGATTCTCAACTATGTTATGAAAGATATGTTATTACAGAATGATTTGATATTAAGGATAATACGATTCACTCAACTCACGATGTGGTACGATTCACGATACTGATTTCACGATACTATTTTCTCAAGGGTTTTGTTGTTTTTTTTCAACAAAATTAGATTTAAGACAAATTATAAATGAAAAGGTGTCCTTTTATTATTGCTTGGACAAAATTTCATTATGAAATTGAAATATGTCAAATAACAAAACTAAATTGAAATTTTAAAACAAACCACAATCTAATCAAATATTAAATCAAATAATAAATCAAAAATCTCTTCATATAAACAAAGGCTTTGCCTGTGGTCTTTCCATTCAAAATTAAAGGCAACCACTGCATTTGAATCACAATCCAAACAAAGATACTGCATAAATGTTTTTTAATCTAAATTAGATTGTGTAATTTGAAATTTTAAAACAAAAACAGAATGTTTAGTTTTGTGATACTATACTACATAAAACATCTGCACGAAACGAAACAGCAGACAAATTAAATGAGATGCAAATTCACTCTCTGACAGCAGGTGGCGCTTATGGAACGGCTGCAATACAGCGTTTGCTTAATTGCCGCTGTAAACAAAGCAGCGCAGCGCTTCTGAACACTGCTTTAATGTGCATTATACAGAGATGAGATGAAACGATCTAAACGTTTCTAAAAACAGTCAGTTCCCCTCAGAGATACTTTCATATAAACTCCTACTCCCAAATGTACCAAATGTATTGTGATTCGTTTAACATATAAACTAGGGATGTAACGATTCACTCAACTCACGATTCGAATCACGATTTAAAAAAAAAAAATGTTTACAAAATGAGATTTAAGACAAATTATAAATTAAATGTGTCCTTTTATTATTGCTTGGACAAAATGCTGCACATTTCTTTGTGAAATTGAAATATAACACTATAATAATATACTAATATAGCACTTGCATATTACTGCTCTTTTGTTGGTTTTGATTGCTTCTATTGTCCTCATTTGTAAGTTGCTTTGAACAAAAGCATCTGCTAAATGACAAAATTTAAATATAATGTAAATAACAAAACTACATTGAAATTTTAAAACAAGCCCCAAATCAAATAACACAAATAAAATAAATCTCTTCATATAAACAAAAGGCTTTGTCTGTGCTCTTTCCCTTTAAAATGAGGCAACCACTGCATTTTAATCATGATCCAAACAAAGATGCTGCATACATTCAACATGAGCAGTTTTTAATCTAATTTGAAATTTTAAGCAAAAACAGAATGGTCTGACTTCAGTTTTGTGAAACTATACCTAAAAATATCTGCATGAAACAGCGGACGAGCTGAATGAGACACAGATTCACTCTCTGCCAGCAGGTGGTGCTTTAAGCACTTCCTTGGTTTCTGCTGTGAACAAAGCAGCGCTGAACTTGTGAACTTTAATATGGTTATACAGAGCCAAGATGAAAAGAAAAAATACCAACTAAACTTTTCTAAAGACAGCGTGTTCCCCTCAGACATAAATTCATATAAACTCCTACACCTAAATGAATCGCGATTTGCTTGGCATCTCAACCGATTTGAATCGTCACATATGAATCGATTTTCAACCGGCTCGCAGTTAATCATTGCATCCCTAATATCAACCGATTTGAATCGTCACATATGAATCGATTTTCAACCGGCTCGCAGTTAATCGTTGGATCCCTAATATCAACCGATTTGAATCGTCACATTTGTATTGATGTTCAACCGGCTTGCGGTGCATCGTTACATCCCTAATATACTATTTTACTTTATGCAATATGTGCGTAAAATGTCCACAAGTTGGTATTCCCATTCTATACAATGTATCTATACATTGGATCTAATTTGCATATTAATGTGTTCTTGGGGCAAACCATAATGAAAAAAAGTGTAATAATGGGAGTAAAAACTTGGCAACATTTTCAAAAGAATATCTCATGTTTTATAGGAATATTGATCTGTAATTTCTTACCCTATTGACTTGTGTCTCCCCAAAATGCCTGATTAATGTGATGTTTGTCCTGGTGTCCTCTACAGAAGACATGTATGAAAATTATACCCTGGTTCGTAACAAAAAGTCATATTCCGATTTGAAAACCCGTAACATTTTTCTGAGATGTTTATTTACGACAAACAATTTGAAAATTAGCCAGATTTAAATGATAATTACAAAACATTATAATTTTTACCTAAATTTGATAATTCTGTCAATATGAGCTATATTTAAAGACCCAGGACAGGGAGTGTTTATGATTAAACCTCCAAACATTTGAATGTACTCTGTACAGGACATCCAAACTTAGAACTGTGGCATGTATGGTCTCAGAGAAATTCACTAAAATATAATGTCGCAAAAGTCTAAGTTTCGGTCCCAGGAGGATATATATATTTATTTTAGTTATTTTTATGTTTTGGGGCTTTTTAAATCCATTTATTTCAGAATGTTCGTTATAAACTTGACCCGTGATCGTATTAATGTATTGCAGCAATTCCTCTTGAGTAATAAGCTGGAAACGGCTATGTGGCTGTCACGACTGTTCACTGTCTACTGCGCCATCATGTTCATTCTGCCACTGCTTGGGTGAGTCATGTTCTTTTACAAGGCACGTTCACAAGCTTCTTTACCATCCTGTTTTGTTCAAAAACTGGGTGCAACTTTTGTGTTAAGGATCAAATTGACTTTTTTCACATTGACCAAAAATTGGCACTATGAAAAAACCCTTAAAGATTAATTTCAAATTTGAAGACAAAAGTTGTAACAATTTGCCTTTTCAAAACACATCTCTGTGTATTCATGACCCTAATTGAGAAAAAGTCACAACATTTCTAGAAGAAATAAAGTTTAACCAGTATTTCAAGCAATTTGAAAATTCAGTGGGGATCAAATTGGCGCCAACACAATAGGAGTTAACGATATTGTAGTTTGTGGCATCACATTAGTATGATGAGGACTATTTAGGGTAGTAAGGACACATTTATACTCACAGGTTTTTTATTTTATTTTATAAGTGAATGATTGGAAGAAGAATTGCTTTTTTCTGTCCAGGCCTCAAGCAGCTAATAACTTCTATCAGAGGGCATTGCTGGCAAATGCCTTGACCAGCGCTCTGCGTTTGCACCAGAGACTTCCTCACTTTCAGCTGAGCAGAGCCTTCCTGGCCCAGGCCTTACAGGAGGACAGCTGCCACTATCTCCTCTACTCCCTCATCCTAGTCAACTCCTACCCTATCACAAGTATCCTTTCTCAAAGACCCCTTCCTTTGGAAATATCTTGGGGGGGAAAATATCTGTTTTTTGTTGTGTTATGGCATCATATTGTATTTAATTCAGCCTTGACTTTTGTTCTCAGTGAGCATTTTTCCAGTGTTCCTCTTCTCACTTCTCCACGCCACCACCTACACTAAAAGAGTCCTTGATGTAAGTCTCTGCCCTTCTCATTTATATTGCTCAAATGTGTATTTGTCATAATTCCATCCTGAATTTTGTCTCCGTTTCATTTGTTCTCAGACCATGGGTCCAAACAGCCTTATGTTTGTGAGGAACTTTTTGAACAAGCTCACAGCCAATCAGCAGAACATCCTAAAGTTTATTGCTTGCAATGAGATCTTCTTGATGCCAGCTACAGTCTTCATGCTCTTCAGGTGAGGACTGACGTTCAGCTGTTTTGTCCAGTGTTAAAAAAAATTTTCAACCCTGTAAATCCTGACGTATTAAATAATAGTAGGGATGTAACAATGCCCATATGCACATAATGCATAATGTAAAATAGTATATCAAATAGGGATGTAACGATGCACCACGAGCCAGTTGAACATCAATACAAATATGTGACGATTCAAGTTAGCTGAGATGTTAAACGAATCGCGATACAATTGGGGGTGGGAGTTTATATGAATATCTCTGAGGGGAGCTGCTGACTGTTTTTAGAAAAGATGGTATTTTCTTTTCATCTTGCCTCTGTATAATGCATATTAAAGTAGTGTTTAAAGATCCACTGAAGTGGCTTGAAACATGCAGCATTATTCTATTCTATTTGTTGACGTAATTTCAACTGAAACGGGAAGACAGGGCGGGACATATCAAGCAGGCCCGTCCCCTTTTTATTATAGATTTTCGTTTATTTCACAACTTGCACCAGAGCTGTTGAGCTCGGTAAAGCCGCATTTGACAGCTTATGACAGCCACAGTCCCCTTTAGATTCAATATGAAACTGTTACTAAAGTAAAACAGTGATTAATCATGCTAAAGATTTGTAGTTGGAAAAGTGTGTAATATATTGGCGAATGGCATCTGTGTTATCTCTTCTACTCGTCAGTGCTGTTTCTAATACCGAGTCTAACAGTTTTTCCTCCTAATCTCATCCATATTGCTATAAAATATAGCATTCTGTGTAGACTTCAAATGGATTCAATATGTTTCGTGGTCTGCACCGTCTCGTGCATATGACCCACTCTGTGCTGTTGTGTGCTCTGGGGCTTTACATAGATTTCATCCTAAATGTGTGCGTATGCACAAAAGCTAGATTTTGCGTACGTACAAAAGTTTTCAGATTTATAAAGCCATGCGTACGCCAGAACTAGGGCTGAACGATTTTGGAAAATCTAATGTGCTGTTGGAGACACTCAATCAAAAGCCCCAGGAATCTTCCAGAAAGGGAATACATGCACACATCAACCCTGTAAATCCTGACGTATTAAATAATAGTAGGGATGTAACAATGCCCATATGCACATAATGCATAATGTAAAATAGTATATCAAATAGGGATGTAACGATGCACCACGAGCCAGTTGAACATCAATACAAATATGTGACGATTCAAGTTAGCTGAGATGTTAAACGAATCGCGATACAATTGGGGGTGGGAGTTTATATGAATATCTCTGAGGGGAGCTGCTGACTGTTTTTAGAAAAGATGGTATTTTCTTTTCATCTTGCCTCTGTATAATGCATATTAAAGTAGTGTTTAAAGATCCACTGAAGTGGCTTGAAACATGCAGCATTATTCTATTCTATTTGTTGACGTAATTTCAACTGAAACGGGAAGACAGGGCGGGACATATCAAGCAGGCCCGTCCCCTTTTTATTATAGATTTTCGTTTATTTCACAACTTGCACCAGAGCTGTTGAGCTCGGTAAAGCCGCATTTGACAGCTTATGACAGCCACAGTCCCCTTTAGATTCAATATGAAACTGTTACTAAAGTAAAACAGTGATTAATCATGCTAAAGATTTGTAGTTGGAAAAGTGTGTAATATATTGGCGAATGGCATCTGTGTTATCTCTTCTACTCGTCAGTGCTGTTTCTAATACCGAGTCTAACAGTTTTTCCTCCTAATCTCATCCATATTGCTATAAAATATAGCATTCTGTGTAGACTTCAAATGGATTCAATATGTTTCGTGGTCTGCACCGTCTCGTGCATATGACCCACTCTGTGCTGTTGTGTGCTCTGGGGCTTTACATAGATTTCATCCTAAATGTGTGCGTATGCACAAAAGCTAGATTTTGCGTACGTACAAAAGTTTTCAGATTTATAAAGCCATGCGTACGCCAGAACTAGGGCTGAACGATTTTGGAAAATCTAATGTGCTGTTGGAGACACTCAATCAAAAGCCCCAGGAATCTTCCAGAAAGGGAATACATGCACACAGGAAATGATGCTGTGGACAGTAAACAGCAAATGGTCAGGCTGTGTATCACAACGAACAGTGGTCTAGAAGCCACTAGCTTCCACAGGAATATCACCAATGGGGATACACCAGTGGACATTTGTATTTTTAAGTACATTACAGACGGTTCTGAGATTTAAGAATGAGATTTTTTTTTTTTACATTATGATTTTGTATATTTTTATACCTATTTATTTTTATTAATAATAAAAAAATAAATCGTTTTTTTTGTGCAGAATTAGTTTAAAATGCAATGCAAGTAGAATTAAAACTAATTGAAATTCAAAGAAATGTATACATCAAGTAGAAAAGCAAGGTTTGTCAAGACAACCTGTGAATGTTCTCTTAACAGCTTTTTTAGAAAATTGATAAATTTGCTGCCCTATCAAGAAAAAACTAAGGTAAACATCCTACCAATTAGTAGCTGCATCTAAAATCACATACTGAGTAGCTATTTATTTATTTTTTTACGATTTTTATTTATTTTTTACAAATATTGCGATTGCGATTTAATATGCAATTATTTTGTAAAGCTCTTTATGTTCTGTATTATTCAAAAAATACAAGCTATAAATAATTGTATAGTATGACCAACACACTATTAGATAGATTAAAAATAAATGTTCTTTTCTGCAGGCCAGGCCTATATGTTATGATTAAATTCGGTGATGCATGAATTGATATGAATTACATGTTTATTTAACAACTACAATCACAGTATATTGACTGATTTGTTGAACTTCCAACCTTATAAGCATGTAATAATTATGACAACATAAAGCAATTACAAATAAGCCTGGTGTAAACATTAATATGAAAGTCAGTAACAAATCACACAAACTAAAGTAGATTGCAGAAATATAAAAACAAATCTGTTGCTTTACCACACTGCTTTAGGTAATTCAAAGTCACTGTAATAAACATAGGTAAACATGTGGACTGCACTAAACACTGTCTGTTAACTTTAGACCATGTAGTGGTTCTCAAACTTTTTTGGCCCTTTAAACCTATAAACCTATAAAAAAATATGCCCCCCCTTTCCCGAATCCCCATTCCACCTCAGACTACCAAATAATTTCACTAAACATTACGCTGCCCTGTTTTTTTTTTATTGTACCAAAGTGATCATTTCCGATTTTGTCATTAGATTATTTATTGATAATAAATCATAAATCAGTGAGTCTTGACTGGTAGTGCTGCGCTACACGAATCAGCTCATGTGTGTTCTGCGCCTCCGTCAAACGATTCCGAACAGAACCGATGCGCGGGACTCGATAAAAGAGAAGAAGCGGCCAGAAGCAGCAGTGAGCAACATCACTGACCTGTTCAGGGCTTCAAGTGCAGGTCAGTTTCATCTGTAAATACGCTAGATAGTTTTGTCTTTATTAACCTAGTTGAGTATTAAACTGATAGTAGGCTATCAGTAGCACCCCATTATTATCATCATTCAGAATACTGTGCTATAGGACATCAATATTGTAAAGTTACATTAAAAAATTTAGTAGAGGAAGATATTCACATGGATTTATTGTACAGGGAGGGAGGGAGCTAAAGACAGCAACACAAAAATAATATGCGTCACAGCCTAACAATTCAATATATTGTACTAATTTCGACATTTAGGCACTTTAGAAATTGTGTTTTGATACACTACCAGTCAAAAGGTTTTGCTCAGTAAGATTTTTAATGTTTTTTAAAGAAGTCTCTTCTGCTCACCAAGCCTGCATTTATTTGATTCAAAATACAGCAAAAACAACAATATTGTGAAATATTTTTATTATTTAAAATGACTGCTTTCTATTTGAATATATTTTAAACTGTGATTTATTCATGTGATTTCAAAGCTGAATTTTCAGCATCATTAATCTGAGTTTTGCAAGTTAATCCTTAAAGGGGTCATATGATGAGATTTCAATTTTTCCTTTCTCTTTGGAGGTGTTACAAGCTCTTGGTGGTTAAAGAAGATCTGTAAAGTTGCAAAGACTAAAGTCTCAAATCCAAAGAGAAATTCTTTATAAAATTTAAGAGTCAGCCACACCTAGCTAAAATGGCTCGTTCTAACACGCCCCTGTGGGAAGATTTGCATAACGCCGCCCAAATGTTCACGCAAAGAAAGAAGGCGTAACTTTTATTCTAGCTGTAGTATTGTTGCCACCGCCGCCATGTCGTGAAGGCGCTGTGTGTTTCGTTGT